AGCGTGGCTCACAGCTGTCCGAAACGCCAGTTCTTCCACACAAACATACATGTAGACACAGTCACACAATTCAAGATAAAAGTAAGTAAATCTCAGAGGAGGAGGAGGGGGTGGAGAAGGGGGAGGAGGAGGGCAGGAGAGAAAGAAGAGGAGGGGGCTGGAGAGTTGTTCTTGGGAAGGCCTGGGTCTTGAGTCCTGCCCCATGAGGAGGCTTTTCCTCCTCTACTTCCTCAAGCAAACACAGACATACATGTGAGCAAAGCGTTCATGAGAATAAAATCTTTCAGAAAAGAAGAATTCCCTAGCGAGGGGCTGGCTGACGCATGAGCCGGCCATTAGGATGCCACCCTGCGTGGCTCCGGCTGTCCTGGCACTCTTCTTTGTAGACCAGGCACAGCTCCTGCCTCCTGGGCGCTGGGATTAAAGGCACGTGCCGCCGACCTGGCACTCGCAGGGTGCGCCACACCGAGGGAGGGGCTCACGCCCCCAGCATCGGCAGCTCTGGGGGGTCGATTCCCTCTTCTGGCCCCTGTTGGCTTCTGCACACCTGTGACACACATGCTCTCATGTGCACATGCATACACGTAACTTTCTTAACCTTTAAAAAATAGTGGTGTTTCACACCAAAGCACATGCGAAATGCCACAGACTCCGCCGCTGCCTCCAGATCTGCAGAGACTCCCTTTCCTCCCTCTCCAGTCACCGCTTCACCCTCCCAGGTTTTCCAGGGCATGCTGAGAGCCAACAAGGACTTCCATGACACCAAGTCCAGCATCACCAGGCTCTGGATCCACGAGTGTTTCAGGTGACAGTGTCTGTGTGTCCTGCCAAGTGGGCTTCCCCAGCCCCGCTCCAGCCCAGCCCTCACCCTGGCTTGACTCTCCCTCTCTCCCAACTGTCCGCCCACAGAGTGTTCTCGGACAGACTGGTTGACACCACAGACATGGAGGCCTTCGTGGGCATCCTGAGCGACAGGCTCGGCACCTTCTTTGACCTCACGTTTCATAATCTCTGTCCCAACAAGCGTTCTCCCATCTTCGGTGAGCCAGGCACCGGGCCACTTTGGGCCTTAGGAGCTTGGGGTCAGAAGGTCCTGGTGCTCCCAGCCCTGGGGACTCTGATACCCTTGTCCCACGGCCTAGGGGACTTCCTGAAGGAGCCCAAGGTCTACGAAGACCTGACAGACCTGACAGTGTTGAAGACAGCCATGGAGACGGCCCTGAACGAGTACAACCTGTCCCCTGCCGTCGTCCCCATGCAGCTGGTGCTGTTCCGGGAGGCCATTGAGCACAGTGAGTGCTGCTGCCCTGGGCCCTGCCACTCCCGGCCTCGGGGCCCTCAGAAGGGCCACTCCCAGGCCACCTTCCAATGTTTGTTTTTCTTCCTGGTCCAACATATTCTTGTGCCAGTGGGATTCATTCATTCATTCATTTTAGTTTTTAGACAGGGTCTTGCTGTGTAGCCCTCGCTGGCTTGGAAATTGCTGTTTAGAGTAAGCTGGTCTGACACTTGTGGCCCTCCTGTCCGCCTCTCCTGGGATTACTGGCCTGCGCTGTCACACTGTCCCCGAGAGTGCTAACCGGGGCAAGGTGACGGTGAGGTGGCTGGATGACTTGTCAGAGCCTGAGGCGCCATTGCCTCCCCTCTGACTGCTCTCAGCCTCAGAGGCCCAGGGCTGAAAATTGCTCGGATGCTCACCCAGTGCCTTCCCTCGCCCGCCCCCAGTCACGCGGATAGTGCGGGTGATCGGGCAGCCTCGAGGCAACATGCTGTTGGTGGGCATCGGGGGCAGCGGCCGCCAGAGCCTGGCCCGCCTGGCCTCGTCCATCTGCGAGTACAACACCTTCCAGATCGAGGTCACCAAACACTACCGCAAGCAGGAGTTCCGAGAAGGTGCGGCTCCCTGCGCTGGGAGAGTGCGGAGGCCTAGAATGAAGAATGAGCAGCTTGGGTTCCTGCTGGGACTCTCTGGGCGTGGGACGGTGGCTGGGCATGCTTGTGGTGAGGACAGGGTCTGAGCTAGCTCTTCCGCTTTGCCCTTCCCGGCTAGATATCAAGCGCCTGTATCGCCAGGCGGGGGTGGAGCTGAAGACCACATCTTTCCTTTTCGTGGACACCCAGATAGCCGACGAGTCCTTCCTGGAAGACATCAACAACATCCTTAGCTCAGGCGAAGTGCCCAATCTCTACAAGGCTGACGAATTTGAAGAGGTAGAGTTCCCTCAGCGCCCATCGGCCCTTTGGCCTTCCTAACGAGCCACAGAACTCCCAGATTCCATATCTGTTTCCGTAGCATCCCCCAGCCACCCAGATCAGCCCCCATGAGGCCGGAGGCCTGGTCCTCATCAGTCACCCCCGGAGGCCTCGCTGGGCAGGCCGCTTTCGGTGCCCGCCTGCTGTGTGGCTGACACTGCTGTGACGGCGTGTGTCCGTGTGTCCGTCCTTTGACTCCCGCACTTCTGTCCAGATCCAGAGCCAGATCATAGACCAGGCCCGGGCGGAGCAGGTCCCCGAGTCCTCCGACAGCCTCTTCGCGTACCTCATCGAGCGCGTGCGCAACAACCTGCACATTGTGCTGTGCCTCAGCCCCGTGGGAGACCCCTTCAGGTGACGCGGCCCCACGGCCTCCTGCGTCCTTTGGCAGCTAGCGTGTCCCATGTGACCTAGGGACACCGCCTGGGTGGGGGTGGAGATGGGGGGGTCAAACCAAAACAGACCTAGGAAGCAGCAGAGCGTCCGCAGGCAGGCAGGATGGGTAACGGTTGCTCATGTTTCTAATTTACGGCGTACGGCATGTTTTCTTTATCACGGCCCGGAGCTGTGCTGAGCATTCCTCCCGGGTTACCTCACCGCATTCCCGAGACCTCAGTCCACACTGCTAACCCCCTGAGAAAGGTGATGGCTTGAGTACCAGGTCCTCGCTCAAGCCCCAGGAAGTGTGGCTCTGGGTCCTCTTGATCGGGACCATGTCTCGGTTGTGCTGACCTGTCTGTGAGGAGGTGAACCCACAGGGGCGGATGGAAGGAGAGGACAGGGCCCCCAGGCCACTGCCAAGCGGGTGGGTGTGGGCCAGAAAGCTAAGGGCATTGGGGACCTAACACCCTCCTCTCCTCCCCAGGAACTGGATCCGCCAGTACCCGGCCTTGGTGAACTGCACAACCATCAACTGGTTCTCAGAGTGGCCCCGAGAGGCCTTGCTGGAGGTGGCCGAGAAGTACCTCATAGGCGTGGACCTGGGGCAGCAGGAGAACGTGAGCCTTCCCCAGCCGCCCCCGCCCACAGCCTGCCCCCC